TTTTTTTTTGGTTTTTCTCCGGTACCGGGAACCGAACTCACGACCTTGCGCTTGCCAGGCAGGCGCTTTGCCGCTGAGCTAAATCCCCAGCCCCCCATGATGTCGTATTTAAATGAAATTACTTTTTCTTCAACTTCTTACCTGCGCAAGTGATTTGGGTTTTGCTTATAATTTTCTCCTATTTCTTTTCTTTCTTTCTTTTTTTTTTGGTCTTTTTGAGACAGGATTTTGCTATGCAGTTCAGGCTGGTCTTGAGCTCACTTTGTAGGCCAGGCTGGTCTCAAACTCCCAACAATCCTCCTGCCTCAGCTTCCTGAGTGCTAGGATTACAGGTGTGCACCACCACGCCCAGCCTCACCCAGCTCATTTGAAGGTGAGTTTAATAAGAATAATTTATTTCCCTAAATATTGTTTCAGCAATTTAGACAACAAAAGAAAATTTGAGTATTTACATATTTGTTTCCCAGTAGAAAATGAGAAAAAAATCACTATTCTTCTTAGTCAATCTCGCCCTCTAGTGGTATATTAGATATGATTGAAAGCATTGAATTAAATCAATTAATGATCATTCTTTTGAGATTATTTAATTCTACAGGCAAAGTTTAGAGGATTTGACTTATACTTAATGGACTGCATTCACTGAAGAAAATATCTTTAGCAGTATTTCTAAAAAGCCACACACAAAAACAGGAGCACAATTACTCAGGTGGAACTCTTAAATGTTAATTGGTACTGATTTCATCATTCTTGTCTCCCATCCTTTGAATTCTGACTAGCTAGAGTTTAGAAATGAAAGACACAGCTCTGTTTTCTGTATTTCTAACTCATATCTCCACAGTAAAACTGAGGCTCATGTATACCAGTTATTCCCCCTTCATTAGATGCCAAGACATTATTCCGTGTTACTTCTTATCACAAGAAGTAACTGCTTTCCTCGAAGGACTGCTTTTGGAGTTTGAATATAATCAGTATGTATTGTTTCTCTGTACTGAAGTTTTCGTTGCTATTGGAACTACAGCCTGTTCATTGTTCACTAATGCATTTGTTTTTATCATCTGTGAACAGAGTTACATGGTTTTCCTCATGAATCTTTGGACTATTTTAGTTTGTCAGTCTATCTAAAAATCCATATAATAAGGGCACAATGAATTACCTTAATTGTGATTTTTAAATTTTTTGAGACAGTCTTGCTATTTAATCTCAAACTTGTGATCCTCTTGCTTCAGCCTCCCAAGTGCTGGGATTACTGATGTGCACCACCACACCCAGCCTTAATTATGAATGTTGTTCCAGAGCATCATATTATACCCAGTAAACATGCACAATTATTGTTTATTAATAAAAATAATTTTTTAAAATAGAAGGAATGAAGATGTATGGAATAAGCAATATAAAAATAGTTGAGATTTATTGTGTGTATTTTTTAACATTGCTATTTAAATGGTTTTTAATTCCATAAAATTGCTGTCTCTTATATGCAAAAACAGTTATCCTGTTCTTTAACTTTGTACAGATACCCTCTCAGTTGTGTTAGAAGTCAGCCCATACAGTTCTTCCCCAGGGTAGATTTGGAAGGTGTGTTGAAAAGTTTTCTTTCAGATTTAAAATCTAAATTGCCTCATATATGTGGATTTCCCATAAAGATGACAAGTAAGGCATGCTACTCTACACAGGAACTAACCAAACCTCATGTACAGGTAAGAGATGTTTTAATCTTACCTAGTTCCAAGACATATTATGCACTTGTCTTGCTTGATTGTCTTGCGTTCTCTTACAGAATTGTTCAAGGACTCTTTTCTCTCAGTTCAGTGTTTCCCTGATACTATTTATTATTTTATTTAACCATTTGTTCTTGACATTTGTTATTATTATATTTAGCATGGTGTTACAGTAGTAGTTTACTGAAATTTTTCACCCGTGTGAAGAATATAAATGAGTTGGGGAAGATTAAAGAGGGAGTTTGTGAAGATGATTTATCTGGAGAGATTTTTCCATCAGTGCAAGCTCAGTTCAGTAGGTGGGCTCCTGCTGCTCCGTTTGTCAGGTCAGTGGAGGGCGTCTCTGGTACCTGCAGGCAGGAAGAAAGCAGGCCAGTGTCCGGACCTACACGGCCTCATTAAGAAACTGATGTAACTGGCTGTCTCTAGATGGAGAAGTAAAAAATGGTTATTTAAGGTTGTTCTGTACTCTAGAATCTGTCAGAACAAAGAGACAGAAGACTTGAAATTGATTCAGATTTTTTTTTCTTTTTCATCTTTGGTTGTACTTTAGTTATTTTTACTGGAACTAGAAAACTTTGGGGGAAGAGGTGATTGCTCTTGTTTTATCTCCATGTACACTTTTAAACCTATTTGTATGGTGCTAAGTAGCATACATTTAGAAAGGTGTATTAATGTACGGCTTAATAAATCGTCACACATGTATCCAAAACTAGGTTAAAAAAACAGAACAGGAGCCGTCTGTTTGCATCTTCCTCATCATACTCCATCTCCCTCAGTACCCCTGCACAAAGGAAACCACTGTCCTGACTTCTTTGGGAATTATTGCTTGTTCTCTGAGAATGTATCTACTAATTATATACCCTTAAGCACTATATTTTAATTTTGTCTGCTTTTGAACTTTATGCAAAGGAAATCCTGCAAATTATGTTTCTTTATATCTGGCTTTTTTAGCTCAGTATCATATTTGTGACATTTATCCATGCTGTTTCACTTAACTGTAGTCAGTTCACTTTTGTTTTATTATTTGATTATACCACAGTTTATTCACCCAGAATACTATTGATGGACATTTGGTTTAGTTCTCTTTGAAAGCTATTCATAGTCATGCTGCAAGGAACACTCCTGTGTATGTATCCTGGACACATAAACATGAATGCTTTTGTACCTATGCCAAACTATTTTCTAAAATAGTCATATGAGTTTAAATAATTATGTCCCCCTTCTGACAGACAATGTAAGAGTTTATATACTTCCCCACATCCTTGTCTGTATATGGTATTATTAGCCTTCACTTGCAGTAGTTCTGGAAAATGTATTATCATGTGTTTTTAATTTATGCTTTCCTGATAATGAGGTTAAACATCTTCTGTGTGGTTTTTACAATTCATTTAGGGGCTGGGGATTTAGCTCAGTGGCACAGCGCCTGCCTGGCAAGCGCAAGGTCGTGAGTTCAGTTCCCGGTACCAGAAAAAAACAAAAAAAAAAAGTTGTGATAGAATTCATTTATAAGTATTCTTAACATATGGCAGGTGTGAGTTCTTTATCAGTTGCATATCTCACATGTATCTTCTTCCATTCTGTCGCATACTTTCTCATTTTCTTAGTGGCATCTTTTTAATTGACAGAGTCTTAATTTATAGTCAAAATTATCAAATTTTTTTCTTTATAATTGGTGTTTTTGTGTCCTATTTTTAAAATATAACTGCACCCCCAAAGTGAGGAATATATTCTCCTATAATGTCATCTACTAAAATGCTTTATTCTCTTTGATTTTCATTTAGATCTACAACTCAGTTGGAATTTATTTTTGTAATATGGTATGATGTGGGCAGATTTTTGTTGTTAACATGGGTATTTCTTTGTCTAAGTAATAGTATTGAAAAGACAGTTCTTTCTGTAATACTGTGCAGTACCACCTTTCTCATAAGTTTCTTTATCTGTGTGGTATTGTGTCTGGGATCTTTCTTCTTTTTCTTTGGTTTATTTATCCTTGTACCAATACTGTACTTTTAGAATCAGAGTTAATCTTAAATTTTGTATTTATTACAAATTGTGTTAGAAGAATAAATTTTATGAGGTTTTTAAAAATCTGGCGAAGCGTGTTAGCCATTCTTGAGCCATGCATTTCTGTACACAGTTTCCATTTATCAAGTTAAACATACATACATACATGCACACACATTGATTCTTCTGGGATTATGATTAGAATTTCACTAAGCCTTATAACCATGAATATTTTCTATTTCTCCCTTTTTTTTTTTTTTTTTTTTTTTTTGGTTTTTCTCCGGTACCGGGAATTGAACTTACGACCTTGCACTTGCCAGACAGGTGCTGTGCTGCTGAGCTAAATCCCCAGCCCCTCTCCCTATGTTTAAAGATATATCTTCTTTAATTTTTCTAAAGGGTAGTTTATAATTTTGTCTTTTCTACTTTATTCGGTTTATTCATATGTACTTCATATTTTTAATGTTATTTTGAGTGATAAATTTTTATCATGTATTTCAAAATATTTTGGCTCTGAGCTATTTAAAAGTATATTTCTTAATTTTCTAGTATATGAAAATTTTCTAGTTGCCTTTTTCTATGTATTTCTAGTGCAAATGCATTAAGATCCATCAGGTGCTGAGAATTGTGTTCTAATCTCCCACTATAATTGGGATTTGTCTCTATCTCCTACTTTCAGCTTTTGCTTTGTGTATTCTGAAACCGCAATCGTAGATACATGTAAACTTAAAATTTAAAATTGCCGTCCTGGTGAATTGAACTTACTGACACTATATGCAGCTGGACTTTTCTTTTTGCCTAAAAGTGTTAAGAATGATGGGCTTGCTGCATCCTGTTTTATCCAGGTCACTCCACTGAATGCATTGGAAAGGAGCAGGGGAGACTAGTGTTGCCTTTTCATCAGAGTCCACAAGTACTTCTTGGGAAAGTTTGAGCCAAGCCCGAGCAACTAGTGACTCAAAATTTAACAAATAAAAACAGAAATGGGCTGGTGGTGTAGCTCAGCATAAAGACTCTAGATTCAATCCCCAGTAACACAGAAAGATAAAAGATGATGGAGAGTTTCTTGACTAACCTTCAGTGCTGGTATACAGCTAACAGATAAACTTCTTTGTTCTTATGGGGAAGAATGTTTTCCATTGTTGCAGTAACAGGGAGTGTTTTGTTTTATAAGGTTACATGTACTGGAACTATATGTGGAAACCTGCCTGAAACTAAGTGCACTCCAGAGAGCATGGACGTGGGCTACAGTCTCTCTTTCTGTTCTGCTGTGTCTGCTCAGTCTGCTTTCTTGACTCCCCTGGGGCCTGTATTTATTGTAGTTTCCAAACACCATATCCTCATGACACTTTTTTCAGCTTTTGCAACATGCTGATTATTTCACTCTCCTTATAATTCTTAATTCAGATTCATCAGAGCCAGTATCTGAGGTCATTTGTCTCACCAGACCAGGCCACATCCATATTGTCTATCACTAGTTAGCTTATGAATTTGGTAACACTAGGTAACAGGGGCTGCTGTATTATTAGTCAGTTTTCTGTTACTGGAAGAAAACCCTAACACCCACAACTTAAAGGAAGACAGCTTTATTTTGACTCACAATTTCAGAGATTTTAGTCTGTAGTTGACTGGAAAAAACATGACAGAAGGTCATGGCCAAGGAAAGTAGCTCAACTCATGGAATCCAGGAAGCAGAGAATAGAGAAAGAGACCTAGAGGAAGGTGCCAGCTGTAGTCCCAGCTCACACCCCCTGACCCACCCATTAATAATCACAGGACCCTCCACACACACACACACATTCACACAACTAATTAGAGGAAGACGCATATAGAACATAAGTTAGACATGGAAGGCTATAAGCAAGGCCATTTAAATTTTTTTTTATGTTTTAAAGATTTTTTAACATAAAAAGAAGGTATACAAATACAGATTACATCATGATAACCAAGGCAGTATTCTACATGACAAAAGAACCAAAACAAATACATAAAGTAAATGTATCAGCATTGAATAAGCATAGCACTTGATATTTAATCTAGGCTGCATAAGCATAATCTAACCACAGGGTTATGCAAAATAAATTATTTCCTAGAACACCAAAATTCCAACCATTCTGACTGTAAACCACCTTATTCCAATGGTATTTTGAGAGAGATACAATATGAAAAGAAATATATATAATATATAAAGAAAATATACATAAAAGATATATATAATATGAAGAGAACTAGCATGACACTTAAACACTGCAAAAAATAGTACATAGTTTAAAACATACTTGTAATGCAATTCTGCATAAAATATACACAGTAAATTTTACTTAAAATTTTTAAAAACAAAAGGCCACCTTTTGTTAATCCTTTAACATAAGGATTAAAACCTCATCAAAGAAAAATGCTCTTCATTTGTATATTATCAGTAGAAAACTGATAAGATTTTGTTGGGGGGGTGACAGGGAAGATACCTAATGAAGTCATTCATTTAAAATCTATTCAGAAATGTTCATGAGATTGTAACTGGCTGCTTGTAACATCTTAAAATATTTTACAATGAATACAGTTTGTACCATTTCTCAAAATGAGGTCCAAAGGCCCAAAAGATTTCTTTTATTTTTTAATTTTAAAAATAAAAGGAAAACATTAAAAGACAGACAACCTTTTACAAAATAGCAAAAGAACAGTACAGACAATACAGAGTTACAAAGTCGTAGAAAATTAATAATGCTTTGTTGTGTGATATCTTCAAAGTGGTTTCTCATGAAAACAGATAGAGACATGCAATATTGATCAATCAAGGACTCATTGGCCATTTCTTTCAGCAAAGAAATAGAAGACAGTAGAACAACTATGTTAACTATCCTGTATATACATACATACAAAATTTTTCCTTCTTTCCCTTGTCTTTTCCCACATCCCAGTTGCCCTTTACCCTTGAATGTTTTCCTATCATTTCACAATGTCTATCATACATC